CCATTTTGGGAACAGTAATTTGGGGAAACTACCATTCAGAGTTTAAAGAGTTGAGGGTTCCGGGTTTAGGGTGTAGGGTTTAGGCCTTAAGGTGTGGAGGGTGAGGGTTTAAGCTTTAGGGTTTCATTAGGGGTTTAGAGGTCTAGGGTTTCGAGGTTTAGGCGTCCGTCGGAATTCCCTAGCAGAGGATTTCCGCGTGATGTAGACGCTACATCTGAGAATTTCCGCCCTTCAATTTGATTCTCGCTCGTTTTGCATTGCATGTTGCATTCATGCAATAATGCGTCAAGCACTAGCCACCCCAACCTCCCAATCGCCTGCAACCCTGAACCGCCTGTTCTGATGATTAGGGCTCTTCTCCAGTGAGTCTTTAGTATTCAGTTCCAAGAGGCGGAGATCCGCTAGTTCGGGCTTGGGGCTGAATCTTCAGGCTTCATCTGAAGCCACTAAACTTGGGGTAGGTTTGGGGAACTGATTTAATTTAATCCGTATAAAATCCTTACAGCCACAAAAAAGGGGTCATTCAACAAATTTTCTCTGGAATTATGCGAAGGCCATGACTGGGTCCTTGTTTGTTGGCGGCTCTTGCTTAATGGGAAGGCCACAGAGCAGACTACCACCCGGGAAAAAGGAGGTGCTGAACCCTAAGCCCTAAGCAGAACATTGCGCTCGGTTTCAAGGGCGCATTTTGATATTCCCGCCTCCAGCGCCCACTGAAGAGTCCCAGAAGCCATCCTGAGGCAAGAAGTTCATCAAGAACGGCTTTTCCGATGATCCGGAGCTGCTTCACTTGAAGACATAGGGGGTTTCCACAAATACAGGGGCTCTTCTTGGGAGCTCCCATAATGAAGTTGTAGCAGATTGGGATCGATTTTGGGCCCCTACTTATGGAACATATTAATGGAAACCCTCACCCCCGCCATGAAGGAAAGCAAGCTGTGATGCACGAGCCTCGTCAACTGCCGTCATTTAGATACCCTTAGATGAGTGGCAAAGAAAGCCGGCTCCAACGACTTCGTGTTATTACTATTATTTCTACTATTGCTGTATATTGCTGTTATATCCCCCAAAGTTTTGTGTTCAGATTGCGCGTGGAATCGTTTCAAGGCAGGCAGAACGCTGTTATCAGGCCTGTGTGCTCGACAATGACTGCGAAGCAGCCTTACAAAATGCAATCATCTGCCATGCCTGCGCTGCGCTTGTGGAGGTTTGTTGGCATCAGACCTGCATTCTCTAAACCCCTCAGCCCTAAACCCTAAACAATAAACCCACCCTACACCCACGGCGATTCTGTTGATAGGCAGGAACGCCTTTCTCATGCCCAAGCTTGTCGGGGCAGATCCTTAATCGTAGGACTTTCCTGCACTTTGATTCCAGGTGTCCGTAACTTACTAGGGTTTAGGGTTGCTGGTTCTAAGTAGGGAACATGGGAATATAATCCCTAGACAAGGTACTCCTTTTTTCCCTACGAAGCCCCAGTCCAGCTAAGCCCACAAGCCTTTTTGATGTCCGAGGCTTCGATACACGAAGAACCCAGTCACGGATGAGGAAAAGAAGGCAGCACCAAAGGCCCCAGTAGATGGCAGAGGATAAAGGGTTTGGGGTTTAGGATTTATGTAGACCCACGATTCATAATCCTCCTCCTTGTCCTAGTTTGTCAGGGTCTAGGGTAGGGTTTAGGGATACTGGAGAATGTAAGGTGTAGGGTTTAGGGCTGAAGGCTTAGTTAAGATTTAGGCTTTAGGGTTGAGGGTTTAGGGTTTAGGAATCAGGGCTGAGAGTTTAGGGCGGTTTCAGGGATAATGGAGAATCAAATGGACAAGGACATGGAAATGAAATGGAAGTTGGATTCACATAGTGATCATATTGTGGAAGCTGGGGGTTTCTAAAAATGTGTGTCCCTTCCTCGTCCCTTCTTGGATACCAGTAAGCGGCCAGAATTTTCACAACCCAACGTCTACTGTGAGAGAAGTCCTGAACTTGTCCTTAAAGCCTTGATTTGTAATTGCAGTACTAGAGAGCCAAGACCAGTAGTTTACACGGGTTTAGGTTTAGGGTTTAAGCTTTGAGGTTGAGGGTTTTGGGGGTTCCATGGCAGAACGCGGGGATAGAAGAGTATCCGCACATGCAGGAAAAGGAGCTCCGTTCATACATAATTAGATCATGTACGTTCGACGCCCAGCATGAGGTGCCAACAGTTTGTTCATGCAACTCCCGTCTTAAACAAAAAACTGAAGGTGGATTCGCATGGGGTCTAGGTATTCTCCGCAATTTCTGTTGTG